GATTTGTAAAAACGTAGGCTTTAAGGCATACCTTACGCGCTCAGCGTATTTGGCCGTTATACATTTACACGTGATAAGCCACTTGCGTTTCTGAAAAAAAATATTTTTTCTCAGTGGACCTTGCCTGGTCAATTAAAAAAAATAGTTTAATAGTTTTAGTATACAACGTATATTCTTGGTTCTTTCGGTAAAGTCACGTAGAAGGGAAACAATACAATAAAATAAATATAAAACAATATTGTAAAATAAATAAAATAAATATAAAACAATATTGTTTTGATAAAATAATAAAAATATAAAACAATAAAATTATTGTAAAACAATAAAATTATTATTCTTGGTTCTTTCGGTAAATATAAAACAATAAAACGATAATAGTATATTTTATTATTTTATTGTTTCCCTTCTACGTGACTTTTCCGAAAGAACCAAGAATATGAATCCCTGCAGTCACGAAAGCTTTAAATCAAAATGTATACAAAGTAATTATAATAATTTAGTCTTTCCACTGGCGGGATACAGGCTTCCTCCACGAACGTTTGACCACGCTTTACCATGCTGGCAGGATGGGTCGGAGGGCGCTGGATCAGATATCACTCACCATGGATGGTAGCCATGGCTGGGAATAGAACTCAGGTCACTGGGTCCAGAGCACAATGCACAACTCTTCTACAGCTGCATTGTGTTATTCTACAGCCGCATTGTGTTACTTTGGTGCCGTTCTTCTCAGCTTGGTGCGCTCCCATTATCATATTTCCAAAAAGATATGTTTTCTAGGCACTCAATACAATTGTATATGTACTTGCTTTTGCATTTTCAGTGATTGCACGCCAATTGTGCGACCGGCATCTCGGCGCCGAGCGCACCACTTTCCCACTGCTGAACATCACTCACGTCGCACGAGTGACATGATAGTGCTTTGCCTGCACCGTTACGGCGCTCTATCTTACGCACGAGGTGCTCGGAGCTCTCCCGATTCAGTTGCGTTCGCCAGTGGCTTATTCGGTGCTTATCTGCCAAATAAGCCCTCATAGCTATGCTTGATCGAATTAGGTACAAAATCAACTTCTTACAAAGATGGGGTATTTTTTTGTAACACTGATCGTTGACCAGGTTGGGATGTCGGTCACGCTGCGCACATAAAAGCCTGCCTCTGTCTCGGATGGGAACACTCGGTTAAATCTGGGAGAGCATGGATTCAGCTGCACAGGTTCCCGCGGTTGTGATGCACAGCCCTCCGATGTGTCTGCGTGTTGTGCCGCACGTTGTTCAGGATGATGTTTCGACGTTTTCGCTCTGCGGTTGTGTTGGGAACAATTCGAGAATAATGACATCCCCGAAGTAGTTCCCGGAACCCAGCAGTCAATTGGCTTCCCTTTGTATCTCTACCAGATGGTGTTCCACTTATGCAGTCTTCAAAGGCTTCTTGAATAAAGTGGTCAAACAAAGATGTGAAATATGAGAGGAGCCCAAAGGCCTTCGCTCTTACACCTCAAAATGAAGACAAAGAATGGGTCTCACTCTTGGCCACGTAGCTTTAGCTGGGACAGCCCACCATCATAATGGTCCTTAATGAACATGATCAGGGATCCCAAAAGCATGAAGGACAACTCCAAGCCTGGCCTCTTGATGGTATCGTTGGCCTTAATGAGGTAAACAAATGAAAGGAGCTGGCATCATGGAAATTCCAGGCGAACTTGGGCGAGGAGGACACAGATCTGGGCCTTATCCAGATCAATGGGCTCATCCAGCAGGCGAGGATGCCTTAATGTACATGCATAATGTACGTTGACTCATTAATACCCCCCCCCTCCCACTTTGCGCAAGAGCGCAGAAGCATGGTCACCACATCTACTACGCCTCTATATAAGGAACGAAACAGGAGGACTTCTCCACAAATCTGGCTGTTGCCTGATGAAGCTAGTTGTAATTACTGGCGAAACGTCGTACTCAGATTGTAAATGTTGTGGCTTGGCTCTCCAACACACCGGTGTGCTGTACTAGTATACTACACTATACACTAGTGCTGTACTAGTGAAGAATCGGCCACGTTCTGTTTACGTGACAACCCTTACTAGTTGGCTGTGTCAGGTGGTGGCGGGTTTTAACGACACATTTATATATTTACGCGATCTAACCCAAAGCACCTCTATTATGGAGGATGCCATGTCTGGGTCATGTAGCTCACATACCCAGCCAACACGTGCCAAAGCAGCAGCTTCTGTTTGACTGGACAAATGAAGTGCAAGAGACATTGGTTCGAAGTGGATTTGCTAAAGTTGCTACCGGGCAGTTGGCGTTAGCCACCCATCATCCCGCAACAATAGGAGGCAACAGGAATGATGCTCACAACAACCGGCAGAGTAGCAGGTGGCTAAAACGCAGCAACGTGGCACAGCGGTGAGGCGCAGGTGGTGCATCTGCCAGTCGTCTCAGTCAATTCGCCAATAACACTTTGTGCTTGTCCTGTGATTTCCTGCCTGACAGCCTTTGACACTACAAGTAGCCTCGAAGTGCTCTCGTGCCATCGTGACAGCACTGCTAGTTAGTGGCACATAGCGGTTGTTGTTGATCTTGTTTCTGTACGTGTGTATGTCCGTTAGCGCTACGCTATGAACCAGGTGACTTAGACTGGGGGAATCCAATGAGCTATGAAGCTCTTTGTTACAGATATCCGGTGTGATTCCTGATCGCCGCCAACATCCGTGGCGCTTATCCGGAACGGTTCTAGGCCTCCGCACCAGGCCGACCCAGCCACCGGTACCTGGTGCGGTACACAAGCATCGGTGCTGAGGAGCCAAAGGTGGTCGAGCGTGGTTCTGGCCAACACCAAGCCCTTGTGCGCTGTGCCGGCCGACGTAGGTATTCGCTCACAGCCGTCTGTAAAAGGCCACACGGGGGATCTTTGTATTTGTACAATCAGCAGTGTCCATCTTTGGGAATGCTTGACTCTCATTACGGGAACATGAACTATCTGCCACTGATTACGTACAGCCAACGGAGTTGAGCACTGCCCGAACACTCACTAAACACTTGGGACTCTTTATGCACAGCGCTGGACGGTAGATGCATGGGTGCACAGGCTGATGTGAGCATGTTTACCACTTGTGTGGTGGCTGACAAAAATGTCCAGAATTCCACCGAGCATACGACAATGCCACAGACCTACACACACCGTGCTTACAGTTGATCGACTGCTTATGTGCTGTTTATTCGAGTAAAAAAATAGATTTTGAAAATGTATTGACGGACAGAAGAAGTATGCAGTATGACCATGAAAGGCATGGATCAGGGCAATGGCGAGCACTCTGCGTTATGAACCCGGTGACCACCAGTTCTGATTTCTGGCCGTGACGAATGCCAATGGTGAATAACAGCTAATGCAGTTCTGTACCCCCCCCCCCCGCCACTCCCCTAATATCCCCCTCCCTACCCCCCCCTCCAATACCTTCCCACCTCCTACCCCCCACCTCAATATCCCCCACCCCACCTAACCCCCCCACCTCAATGTCCCCCACCCCACCTAACACCCCCCCCCTCCAATATCCCCCACCCCACCTAACCCCTCCTCCCACCTCAATATCCCCCCCACGCACTTCAGCAACCTCCTCTCACCAGTGTGGTGATGTTTGGTCAACAAACTCGAGGAGGCCTTCATCCAGGAGTGAATCGACACATGAGTCCATACACATATGGCTGATAAGCATTATTATTATTTATCTTGAATTAAGAATGCAGTCAATTAGGAGAAATTATGTTTTATCTGTGAGGTAATTTCTGTCTCTTGCTTCCGATCGGAAAACCAATGATTTATAGAGGCCTATCTTTGAAGCCAGCAGTGGATTGATTGTGAACAGTGGAACATATGTACCAATGGGGTGGACGTCACCATGATGCCTGCGCCAGGCTAGGTGCATTTTGAAGCCACGGTTGTGACATGTTAACTACCTCGCCTGGTATACAGGAAGTCGTGAGTTCGACTGCGACCTTGACACCTACACCGCTGTATATTTGGTGTTTGCGTGTCTCTCTCCCCGTGGTCGCATGGCATTTTTTCCGGGCCCTCCGCTTTTTACCTCCAAATTTATAAATATGCGTTTAGAGTATTTGGCCCTATACATTTTCACTTGGTAAGCCACTTGGTAGAACTATGATTTGTGATAGCCAGGTCACTTCAGGAAAAGAGCTATATAGCTCAGTGGCCTGTAAAATAAATATAGTTTAGAAATAGAAAGTATCCAAGAACTGACTGGCAGGACGGACCCAGGTGTTGTTTTAATTGACGAAGGCAACTCATGGAGAGATGCACCACCTGCACTCCTCACTGTGGCACACATAAACATCCCCTGTACATCTTGTAACAATCTGTTTAGAGAAAGTGCTGTTAGCAAGTCCCTATTAAGGCCAGCATAGCACACACGGGTGTGACGTAGCCAGCACCACACACCCCGACGATGACGATGACGACGATGACGTTTTCCATGTTCCCTTTGTGCTGAGCGTTCGGTTTTGTACCTCGGCATAAACTTGTTAACGAGTCGATGGCACCATCCACGGGACTCTTCTGTACGTCCTTGGTTGTAGCAAGGGATTGCGGGTAGAGCAGAGACTAAGGTAGGTGGCAGGAGGCAGACCCTCAGGGCCCACCTCAAAGGCCTCCTCTGCACACTTTCGTGACCCGTGCGGGGATTGCTAAAACGTGTCTTGCGAATGGCGGCACTGATAAAGAGACGATGCGCAACAGGAGCGTTTAGCTTGGGATTTGACCCAGACAGTCTGGGAAATGGCATCTGCGTCCGTGTGGCGGGAATTGATTTGTGTCGAGATCTGGTACCGGTATTGTCTTGACCTTAATTTCGGTACATTGCACGGTTCTGATCGACCTAAGCCAATTTGGGAAAATACGTCTCTGGCTCTCCTCCCTGGTGGAAACAAGGTGGCGGGAGCCCCCTGGTTTTAGCTCGCGCTCGGTTACAGGCGGGCCGCGCGCGTTCACTCACCGCTGCGTCATGATCTTGAACGTGTCCGGCAGGTAGCAGTGCACGTTCTCCATCTTGGCGGGATCGGCGTCGCAGATGTGGTCGTCGGTGCGGCCGTAGTTGGCGCTCTCAATCATGATGACGTCGCTGCCCGGGCAGCGTAGGTCGATGGGGTAGCCCTCGCACGACAGCTCCCGTCGTACCAGGCCCGGCGGCATGGCCACGCGGCCAAATGCTGCAACGGCAACGCGCGGGCGATGTGAGTGAGCGTGCGGGCGACGTGAGCTGCGTCGATGACAACGATAACAACAGCCGCCATTATAACTTGAAAACGCATTTCTTCAGAACAGCGTTTTGTGTTCCATTTGTAGTTCTTCGCACCTCTGATGAGCACGGTCGGCTACGTACGGTGGTGCAAAAGAAGTTCAACGTACTTACATTCACCACGGAGGGGTAGCGGCGTCACATGACGTTTGTGCCAGGCAAGATGCACTTTACACGCATATGCACATACTTACAGATAATAAGGATTCTTTATACGATGATAAATATCGGCTCTGTAGCCTGTTTGATCCACACACACACACACATTGCTGGGCAGTGGTGGCTCTGCTGCACGTGGCCTGTAATCCAGCACAGCAGAGGCAGCAAGGGTTGGTGGATCGCACACAAATGTTGTGAAACTCCCTTCGCGTAGGCATTGCGGTGCCACACCCTGGCTCGCCATGAGAAGGCGGTACAGCACGTGGCTATTCTCCAGGTGCTCGAGTCCCCTCCATCACGTACACGCTTATTAATTAGATGAAAACATCTTATTATAAAGCGGACTGCAGAGCTTGCACAATCATTGGTGCCAGCTCACCGCCTGGCTAACACTTCCTGCTCGCCTGTGCTACTTCACGCCGCTCAGTTGCTCCTTCTCGCTTCAAGAGCGAGGAAATACCGCGCTGTACACTACCGGTTAAAATTGTTCATGATGGCTGTATTGCCTTTCTGGGACTACTGGAGGCCACTGCTGTTTGCGAACACCTAGCGAGGCTTCCAGTGTGCGCACAGGCGAGGCTAGCATGGCCACAAATCCAAACACGTACATTGCTGTGACATTACCATCGGTTATAAGGAAAGACGCTGAGAATTAATGGTCCATATTTACAGCCAGACAGCACACCAATTTCGTCACTGCGGAAGTCCATATAACAACGAGTCAATGATTCTCGATTAAATTGTCCTGGTAACAGAGGTTACGTGGGTGGCGGTGGCAGGCAGGAGCAAAGGAGTGCAGAGTAATTTATCTGCCCGCTCAGAACCAAGGGACGTATTAAGCACTAGTCTTTATTAGCGGATTGAGATATTCGACGCTTTACTCAATGTCCACGCCAGGTGTGGCCAATATAGTTAATTGAACGATGATGCGAGTCTCAACATTAACTCTATCTCTTCTCCGCACCTGATGGGAGATTCGACCGAAAAGGCAGGCAAACTCATTTCGCTAATCAAAATGTGAGTTGAATTTATTCCCCTTCATAACGTTCATTATAAAGATCGTTAAAGTATAATTCCATAAATGGTCCAGTTGAAAGGACCGCTTCAGATCACAAGAGCTCTGTCTCTCTACGGCAATTACGCTTCATTGCGTGTGCATGTAAGGTAAGTGATGGAGACAGACTTTGCTCAAATCCATTGTGACGACAAATGTGCACTCATAGCTACAACTGGTTCGAGTGAGAGCAGGAACAGTAGGTGGCTCAGGCTCATGAGAAGGGTGCGTTACCTAGCGGAGAATATCATAGTTTTCCCAAGTAGTTCTATGATGTAATCTTCTGGAGACTGTTCTCTGATGCAAGGCTCGTCGCTGCGCGAGTTCCAAACTGAGATTTCTCCGACTGGGGTGATTAATCGATTAAATTAATAGAAATGTGCAATCAACTGCTTTTCTGATATCAATTACTTGGGCCTTTTTCAAATTGGTGGCCAACCCAAAATCCTGCCTAACAAAGGTGGGAAACCCCCTACAAGCCACGCCCACTGCGACAGGCCTGATGATGCCTCTGACGTCAAAATGCTTCACCTGTCACCTCCAGTACCAAACCCCGCCCATCACCTCCCACGTGGAAGCAAACAGATCAGATACTTATTTTGGTCCAACTGTTCGAATGTTTAAAATATATCATTAGTCGTTTATTTCATTGCAGGATGGCGCAAAGTGGATCATTGTTTCGATTGAATGAATAAAAAATATCCTTCCTACATAGTAAAGGGAAGTATCTCATGAGATGCAAGGGCAGTGAAGGAGACCACAAGCCTGCAGATGAGCGTGGAATGGCGGAGCATGAACTTGAGGTGCGATGGGAGGCTGTTCTACCGTGACAGTGCTGTAACAGGGTGAGCCAGTTGTAGACACCCCAGTGAGATATTAACAACTGCAGCTGCCACGCATCATTGAATGTTGCGCGGGCAGAACCACACTGGCTGTGCTGGACAAAGCGTATCAAGCAGAGTGACGAACAATTGCTCGAGTGCATTGAGCTTCGGTGGGAGACACACGTAAAAGGCTTTTGGAATGCGACTTTCTCGTCTCTGTAAATTCTCGCTCATATGTTCGTGTGGCCTCTCTAAATGGATCGCCCCGGTAATTGTTGTTGTTCTAAATGCACATCGCCGTGCGGTGGCAGGGGTGCGGCGACTGCGCGGGGATTGCGGAGGACGGGCGATGACGCCGTGGCCCTGATGAAACTTTGCCAATGAAGAGGGAGCGACTTTGATGCACACCTTTGGTGCGTCCCACATGAGGCTGATGACATACGAGGATGATGACATACGAGGGACACAGCAGGCTTGGTTGTCGCGCTGCGCCCCCGCTCTCCCGCCGAGACGTAGCGACGGCGCACATCTCAGCCACCGGCCCCATTGCCTCATTTTTTTGGAGCCATTTTTTTCGTCTAAAAGAAAAGGCAAAGGTGCAGCACTGAATTCCCTTGTTGAGGCCACCGCTGGCAGGAGGGCCTCGATTATATGGAGCCTTAGAGAGCCCCTCTATGAGGGTATGTCAGGCCCCTTCTTCCATGCTGGCAAGACATCTCGGAAGAGGTGGTGGCTACGGCACGTGGCTGCTGTAATCCAGTGCTATGGAGAAAAAATGGTTGGTGGATCACCACGCAAATTTAAAAATGTTGCGAGGCCTTCGAGGGTCCGTAACCCGTCTTGACAATAAAAGGGAGTACAGCAGAGTGTGAACTGAGATCACCTGTCCCTCCTACATCGGACAGAGGGTTGCCCCCATCACATGCATGGACTTTCTCTGGGTACTCTGGTTTCCTCCCACCTGTTTAAACACTCATCCGTCAGCTGAAAACATCTTAATACACAGAGAATCGCAGAACAATTGTTGGTAGCTCCGGTTCACCGCCTGGCAGCTGCCAGCTTGGTCTATGGTGCCTCAGCAATTGCGAGATGCAATTTGCATGAACGAAGCTATACAGTATAAAACTGATCATTAGATGTGTATTATTATTAGGTGGGAGTACACCACACTTTACCCCATCACCCGCAGATCGACTAACCGTGGTGCAGCCATTCACTGTTTACCACTGGGTGCTGCGAGGCGGGGAGGGGGGGGCGTTAAGAAATTTGCTCCATTGTTTAACTTCCACGCCAGGAGATCAAACCGACGACCTCTGAAACACATGTCCAGAATGCGCACCGTTACACCACGGCACCATGCCGGAGGTTACCATCGTGCGCACAGACTTTTAAAGAAAACGAGATGGAGTGGTGGTGCGGTGGTTAGCGCACCGCACCAATGAACCCCGTGAGCCGAGTTTGAGAAGGGGGCGGATATCAGAACTGCATCGAGCCAATGCGGTGCAGCGTGGCCAAAGAACCGCTCTGAATCACACAGCGTGGGAAGGCCTTCATCCAGCAGCGGATTGACAAATGGTTGTAAGTTACAGGACCATTATTGTTATTATGTATACATCAATTCAGCGATGAAATATAATGTGACTGCAATGGCAGTGGTGCGGGAACATAAATAATGAACACTCACCACCTTCATCAATAACACGGCCTAAATACGGACAAATATACAGCAGATTCCATCTCAGGCGAGGACCAGGCTACTGTATATTCTTTTTGTGTAATGAGGCAATGGTAGAGATGAAGGTGGCGAGTTATTTGCGTTTGTAATTTAGCATGTAGTCAGGTGTACTCTGACATCTGTAAATAAACTTCAACATCCGTTCCGAGGCTGAAACTGAGCCAGTGGAATGACATTAAAATTACTGCTTCGTCTCTGCCCAGAATCCAGCACACACGGCAAGCTTGCTTTGGCTAAGCGCAGCGTAAGGCAGGAAGGTTGTTGTTGCCCCAACAGATGAGACCAGGAGAGGGTAACCGTGCCCGAGAGGACGAGCGAGATGGATCGCGGGACCATGGGGAGTGACGTCCACGAGGAGAGCGCTTCAGCCAGCAGAGGATAAAACATGACAACTGATGATGGTGTCAGCTGCTTCAAAGTGCGTTCAGCAATACGCAGATGAACGTAGCAGTAATCTCTGGCCGGCACTATCAGTTGGATCGTAGATATGACAGCCTACACCTCCAAACATGTAAAAGCTCAGTTAAATCACATACCCCAATAAAATGCATCCATTTAAAGTTATGCCATACGTTTAATAGACTCAGTACCACAAGGCTAACAAAAGTAACTATTTATAATTCATGCAAAGGTCAATGAGTGAACGCTAAACGAGCGACTGCATGCGATAAAGCCAGGCATGGCGACAGGCACAGGATGTCTCGTGCTTTAGAGGCACAGGTTGCAGGAGTACTCTCGGTAGTGGAGTGGTCGCGAGATGCCAGAACAGCAAATGGAATTGTGAATCTGTCCGCGTGGCTCTTCCGCTGCTATCCTCTCATGCGCAGACTTTCTTCGGATACTCCACTTTCCTCCCGAAGACTAAACACTCCGTAAAACTGATATGGCCAAACCTACCAAAGTGGGACCCTCCTGTGCAAGTCTTGAGGTTCAGTGACGGCTCTCCAGGGTAAACACAGTACTGTCGTAATATACAGCCCCTCGTCAATCCACTGCTGGGTGAATGCGTCCCCCATTGCACGCAATGTGTGACCACGGCGGTTCACGCGCATCAGGTAAATGATTGGGAGTAATAGTATTGTCATGAAATGTCGCCTCTTGTTAGAATATGGAATAGCGTTGTTTTAGGCTTTCCTCGC